TAGGAGTTTCATTAGATGTGGACATTGTGAAAGGTTTTTGTTTTTATGCTCTTTGAGTGCGTTTGCATGCCGATCTCAGTAGTCACGCATTCGGGCATTGCGTACTTTTTTCGGGCAAGAAGGTCACCGTCCCCTCCTGTCCCCGCCCCCTCCCGAGCCCGAAGGTGCCCGTACGCCTATGCTGTGATTTATGACGGTCCATAGGGCGACTTAAAGGCGGACAATTTCGAATATTTCTTGACGGCTGGTAGAATTCTACTAGTATACTAATGTATACTAGTAGAATTCTACTTGTCGTAGTTAAACCCAGTGGCTCTCGGTTTACTGTAGCTTGAATAGGGTCCGTATAATGCTACCCCCCTCCCCCCACCTCCACCCCTTCATGAGATGCTAGTCCATCTCATCGCAGTTACAATTAAAACACGAAAAAAAAACAAAACAAAACAAAAACAAAAACATTGATCATTCAATGAATCCATAGTTTCAGTCGCAGTTTCTGTTCTTTCCAGGTAGTTTGTTTACACTTGAACCTTCCGTGGCGAATTATTTGCATCAGGAGTGCAATATCAGCTTTCAACTACCCTGAGCGGCGCTAGGGACGTTTCTGTTGCGATGAGTTAGAAAACCCATAGTTTGGATACTTGCTTGCCTTTTTTGGGCTAGAATGAGCCAGATAAAAATATCGAAGTACGTAATTTTAGTAAAATGCTCATTTCTACANACCCAGGGGCTCTCGGTTTACTGTAGCTTGAATAGGGTCCGTATAATGCTACCCCCCTCCCCCCACCTCCACCCCTTCATGAGATGCTAGTCCATCCCATCGCAGTTACAATTAAAACACGAAAAAAAAAAAACGAAACAAAAACAAAAACAAAGACATTGATCATTCAATGAATCCATAGTTTCAGTCGCAGTCTCTGTTCTTTCCAGGTAGTTTGTTTACACTTGAACCTTCCATGGCGAATTATTTTCATCAGGAGTGCAATATCAGCTGTCAACTACCCTGAGCGGCGCTAGGGACGTTTCTGTTGCGATGAGTTAGAAAACTCATAGTTTGGATACTTGCTTGCGTTTTTTGGGCTAGAATGAGCCAGATAAAAATATCGAAGTACGTAATTTTAGTAAAATGCTCATTTCTAC